GAAGCCCATCACTTCAAACCACATTAGAACCTACTTTAAAAAAAAATAAAAATAAAAAGTTTATGTTAGGAAATCTCCCATCCCCTAGTTAGTTAGGCCCAAACAAAAATATGTTGGACACATCTGTAAAAATCATATAAAGAGAAATATAAATGGCTAATAAAAATAGAAAAAAGTGATCAAACTTACCAAGAAATACACATTAAAACTGTGAGATCTTTTCACACAGATGCAGAGAGGTAAGGAATAATAATACCCCCTGTTGGTGAGGACAGAAGTTTTTTTACTCTTGGTGTCAGAGAAAACTGGTAAAACCTTTTGGGCAGGGGTTTGTTGCCAAATTGAAATGTGGTCAATTAGAAATAATTTTGGGGGCACTGGATGGCTCAGTCGGTTGTGTCTGACTCTTGGTTTTGGCTCAGGTCATGATCCCGGGATTGTGGGATTTGGCCCATATTGGTAGTCTCCTTGGGATTCTTTCTCTCCCTCTGCCCCTCCCCCAGCTCTCTCTTTCTAAAATAAATAAATCTTGGGGCGCCTGGGTGGCTCAGTGGGTTAAAGCCTCTGCCTTCGGCTCAGGTCATGATCCCAGGGTTCTGGGATCGAGCCCCGCATTGGGCTCTCTGCTCAGCGAGGAGCCTGCTTCCTCCTCTCTCACTCTCTGTCTGCCTCTCTGCCTACTTGTGATCTCTGTCAAATAAATAAAATCTTTTTAAAAAATAAATAAATAAATAAAATAAATCTTTAAAAAGAATGATATTAACTAACATCCTACGAATTGTCCCTAGGGGAAAAAAAATAATCTGCAATGTGTGCAGGTTTCTCTACAAAGTTGTTAGTTGAAACACTGTTTAGAAGCTGAATGTGTGGGTATTGCAGGGGAAACCGTGATTGCCAGACCCTGCTACCCTCCTCCCCAACCCTAGTCTGTCTGTTGACAGAGCAGAGAGTAGGGCCCTAGAGAGGGGGTATGACCCACAGCTGGAGTAAGAGAGTAGTACCCAATTTTGTTCCTCTGGGCCAGATGAGACCCCAGGGACCAGAAAGGAGAAGTGAAATTTTAAATGTCTTCATTTCTGGGGGCACCTGGGTGGCTCATTCTGTTGGGCGTCTGCCTTCAGCTCCGGTCATGATCCCAGGGTTCTGGGATCGAGCCCCGCATCGGGCTCCCTGCACAGCAGAGAGCATGCTTCTCCCTCTCCCTCTGCTCTTCCCCTGCTTGCTCTCCCTCCCTCCCTCTCTGTGTCAAATAAATAATTACAAAAATAAATGCCTTAATTTCTGGAGAGATCTTGACCTTGGAGATTCATAGAACGGTGAGTATGTATTAACTTCCAAAATTAGTAGAGTAAGCTAGGGCTTGGGAAGGGCAGGACCAGCCCGGGTCGATGGGGGCTTGCTGCTCGCCCGGCCCGAGAAGCCTGGTTACCTCCCTGTCTCCGAGGCTGGGAGAGGGTTCCGCATCTGAGGAGGCAGGAGTTGAGGGTTTCCCTTCAGGTGCTCCCTGGAGCCCTGCCTCTGCTTGGCAGCTTGGAATGCGGCTGAGCTACCACCGGGGTATATAGATTGCTGGCTGTGCTCGAGGGTAGTACCTCTAGGTGTCTCCCTGCGTGACCCATGGCCATGAGTAGGCAAGAGAACTATAGCCGTACGGCAGAAGAGGCCTTGCAGCCAGAGGGAGGAGGAGCAGACAGAGTGATCGAAACACGCAGCTCCTGATGAAGCAACTGGAGGAGACCGACGACCACACCACCCAAATCACTGAGCCGAGAGACAAGGGACTGACCTTATTATTATCTTTTTATGTATACCAGAGCCCTGGACTTATGTATTTATTTATTTGTCAGAGAGAGAGAGCGCACACACACTAGCACAAGCAGGGGGAACAGCAGGCAGAGGGAGAAACAGGCTCCCCGCTGAGCAGGGAGCCCGATGTGGGCCTCCACGGGACCCTGGGATCATGACGTGAGCGGAAGGCAGACACTTAACCAGCTGAGCCATCCAGGCATCCCAAAGGGCTGACCTTAATTGATCAAAGCAATTAGGGACCATTTGGGGCTGGAATGGTTTTTTTTTTTTAAGAGGGCAACTACCTTGAATAACCCTTGTAGTAACACATAGTAATGTGTGGTACTTCCTTGTCCTGAGGATGAAGGAGATCCTGTGTTAGAAGCCTAATGCAAAAAAAAAAAAAAAGAAGAAGCTTAATGCAGTACTAGGCAGGTAGTAAGCCCTTGGGAAAATATTTTCTCATTTGTGTTTAAAAGAGTTTTTAAGGTTTGAATGGATATACATGCCCTTCTCAGTTTTGACAGTTCATCTTAAAGTACTGTACATAGAACCCTGGAAACAACAGAATGTTGTACCTCTGTCATCACATAGGAAAGGCTTCTCAAACTTTAACGTTTCAGTGTTCCACACTTCCAATGTTTTTAAGGCTTCTCAAACTGTAAATCAACTAGGGATCCTGTTCAATGTAGGTTCTTAGTTAAAGGCAAATTCTGATTCAGTCTGCCTGAGGCCTGAGGTTCCATAGTTTTAACAAGTTCCCAGGGATACTGATGCTGCTGGACCACAGACCACACTTTAAGTAGCAAGGGCATAGGTAGGGTTTCACTTCTGTTACTGGAGAGGTTTATCATAGCACCCATTTTCCATGGATGGAGAAAGAAGAGGAGGAAAGCAAATAATTTCCTTTTTTAAAAACCTCATCTCTTTATTTAAAAAAATTTTGGGGCACCTGAGTGGCTCAGTTGGTTGAGCAACTGCCTTTGGCTCAGGTCATGATCCTGGAGTCCCACATCGGGCTCTCTGCTCACAGGGAGTCTGCTCTCCCTCCGACGCTCTCTCACTCTCATTCTCTCTCTCTCTCTCAGATAAATAAAATCTTTAAAAACATTTTTTTTCAAACCTGGGATGCATGGGTGGCTCAGTTGGTTAAGTGTCTGCCTTCAGCTCAGATCGTGGTCCCAGCGTGCTGGGATCCAGTCGTGCATCAGGCTCCTTGCTTAGTATCCCTACTAATCCCTGCTTTTCCCTCTGCCTGCCCCTCCCCCTGCTTGTGCTCGCTTTCTCTCTCTCTCTCTCTTAAATAGATAAATGTTAAAAATCTTTTAAAATTCCAAACCTGAATCTTTGGAGGAAAAATGCAGCAAACCCCTATATACCTGTCAACTTAGCTTCACCAACTGGTAACGTTAACGCAGTTTGCTTTTAAGGACATGACACAGAAATTGCCTACGTCACTTTCACTCTTGTTCATTGGTAATAAGTTTGGCATACACCCTCAATTGCTGCAAGGGAGGCTGAGACATACAGCCTGCCTTAATAGCTATCTGCTTGCTGTAGGGGGAGGGGTTCTGTTACTACAGGAAGATGTGATAAAGCAGTTATTGGATGAGGAGAAGAAAGATTTGTGGGACAATAGACAAATCTGACACATTGACCCCTTAAATCTTGTAACCTCTTGGAAGTAGATTCTGGAAAGATCTGAGCTAAAATTGCAGCCCATCTCTGGAAAGTATATAGGACTTAAAAGTGCATTTTACACACCTACCGCATTGTTGACAACTGTTCTGCCTTCATTTATCTTGCTGTACTGTGTGGATCTTTTTAATCAATCTTAATTTTTTTTTGCAACAAGTTTAATTGGAAAGTAATTGAATAATGACACACTAAATATGATTGTGTGGAGTCCTCAGAATGTTACAAATGGGCCCAAACACAGTTCACTACAGCATCTTTGCTTACAATGGCATGTTTGTAGACCTTAAACATGTAGCACTGCCAAGCTTTAAAGAGTATTAGATCTATTTTCATTTTGTTCAAGTGTTATTCTCCGCTTTCTTTAAAAAACAGGAACTTACAGAAACTGTTACAGAAAGGAAATATACAGGTTGCTTTGTATAAATCAAGATTCCATCCGCCTCTACACATCACATTATGAAGACAACAATAGATTTTTCCTCGTTGTTTTATATTGCCTTGTTACTTTTTTAAAAAATATTTTATTTATTTGAGAGAGAGTGAGTGAGAGAGAGCACAAGTGGAAGGTGGGGGAAGGGGCAGAGTGAGGGGGAGAAGGCGGGGCTCCGGGCTGAACAGGGCGTGGGAAGTGGGAAGTGGGGCTGGATGGCAGGACCCTGGGATCATGACCCCAAGGAAAGGCAGTCGCTTAACCGACTGAGCCATCTAGGCGCCCCACATCACTTTTGATCTGTTTATTCCAATTACTTTGAAAACTTCTCATCTCTTCACTTTTTCCTTTTCAAAATGTTAAAAAGAATATGCTTTTAACTTTTCTGAGATAGTGTTATTTTATTTACTTTTGATTTGTGATAGTTTATTCTCTTGGATATGAATTAAATCCTTTTAAGGTGGATCCTTTTAGCCTTCGACTGTAAGCAGATCATTCTTATTCCATCCTTTGGCAGCGTGGACCACTTTTTTGTGAAGGCAAAGCAAAAATTACTGTTTGAAGTTACTATCACATGTTGCTCAACACGGGTTCCCTACTATACAGAACTTGGGTTCGATCTTGTGCTACAGACCCTCCTGCACCTTGAGTGCGACCGACCCCTACCCACTGGCACGGCGACAGCCCTCCACAGCCTTTGTGCGGAGAGAACTGGCTGTCGGCCGCGTCCACGCCGCCACACTTCCCGGGCTCGACGCCCGCCAGGCGCCAGGGATGGAAAAGCCCGAGGCCCAAGCGAGGGGAGCGTCAGCCCAGGCAGGACTGGAAGGCGGGGAGCAATCCCCGTCTCGGAAGCCCCCGCTCTGCGTATGGGACACTCAGAAGGGCGCCCACGTCCGGCCGCGGGACCTCATCCGAGGCCTGCCCGGTGGTAAGATGGCGGCGGCGGCCTCGGGCAGCGGCGGCGTCAGGCAGCAGCGGCGGCATCCCACGTGGGGACCGGTGGCCAATGGGCTTCCGGCCTGTGCCGCCCTCCCGGAGCGGGAGGCGGAAGTGCCGCGGGCCGCCGCCTCCGTCCCGGCTGCGGCCCCTGCCGGTTACATAACTCGTTTCGGGCTCCGCGCGGCCCCACTTTTCGGCAGCCCACGACCCCAGGATGCTTTGAGCCCCACGACGGCGTCCGCTGCCGCCGGCTCCGGTCCGAGGTGAGGTTCCCCCGGCTCCGGCCTGCGGTGGGGCTGGGGTCGTGAGGGAGGGGGGAGCCTCCCGGACCTGAGCCGGCCCGGGGAGGCGGGGGCCCGAAGGGTGCGGGACGGCCGGGGCGGGACCCAAGCTTCTGGGTGCCCAGACGTGTCCGCGGGGTGACGAGGGGGTCGCGGAGCTCGCGCCGGCCGATGCTGAGGGGGGCGTCCGCCGGGCGAGGACGGACGCGCTTTCCCGCACCTTCTCCCGCCCCTGTGCCCCCTTTGCCTGAGCGCCTCCCGGCCAGGCCCCAAGACGAGTTGGTGGGGGAAATTTGGGACCAGAGGTCAGACTGCCCCTCGTTTCTCTCCGAGTCGCCCTCCTGCGGAAGGGCCTCTCCTTTTCACAGGTCAGCGGTTCTCTTGACCTGCCTTTGCTTTGGTACTTGTTGCGCGGATTGTAGTTATTTGCCGACTTGGTTGCCCTCCTGTGAACCCTTGAAAGCTTGGGGCTCTGTCTTCGTCGTCTCTGACTCTTTCGTCCTCAGCCGTACCTTTTGGTTTTAAAGACAGGTGAATTCCTTACGTTTCTGGTAGTTTGCAGACTGGCCATGTAGACCCTACCAGAGCTCTGACCTCCTCCACCAGAACGGGCGCTTCTCAAGGAGCCTGGGGAGCCTGTAGCTCTCGTGGTGTGTCCCCGTGAGAATATCGTGAGGGAGGCTGTGGGCCTTCTCTGGACCACTGACCACACATACCTTTATGCCCAGCGGGTGCCAGAGCCCAGGACCTGGAGTTATTCTGCAATGAACGTGGACATGGGCAGCTTCATTGATCTGTTTCACTCTGTCAAGTCCTGAGCCATAAGATTTTGTTACTCACTTGTCCCGAAGGAAAAGGATAGCAGCCCCACGCACTCACTCCCTGTGGTGCCCGAGTGGTTGTTAATTGGGAGTGTCAGAACTGGAGAGGACATTGCTGATTGCGGAAGTGTCACCAGCGGACTTAAGGCAGAAATATCTAGTTAATGATTAATTGAGTGATCTAGGAAAGGTCGGTGATTCCAGGTCATCTACAGAAATACCACAATCCCTGTGACACCTTGTGATGTAGAGATGTGAGAAGTTATTGGTTCGGCCCGCAGACAGGAAGGAGGGGAGTCTTGAGCATCATTGAATTAAAAGGGGCTGGAACAAAAACAAATTCTGTGTCTCTCATGAAAATCTCTGAATTGCCTTAAGTTTGGAGAAGAATGGAATAAACACTAGAAGAAACTCAGGGGTGGCTGAAATGTAAGTCCTGGTCATCTTTTCGAGTGGACAGATCAGTCATGGCAGTGCACACAGGTCTTCACTTAACCCTGTTTTAGATTCTATATCTGTAGGAATCAGCGTGCAGATCGGCCCTGGAGAATGCAGTGTGCCTGAGCTTCTTCTCCATTGGGCCACAGTTTGCTACAATTCCATCTCACTGAGCTTGCACGCTCAGTGCACGCTGGGATTCTGTGAAGACAGTTAAAACCTGTACAAAACAAAGTCAAGGCATGGTGTGGTGTTGACAGGCCAGAATAGAAAGTACAAGCATGTTTTTAAAAGGTCCGTGTGTAGCTTTTGCCTCTCTGTAACTTGCAGGACTTTGTCATCTGTGTTTTATCCACACACACTCAAAGGCTTCAGATAGGACTTGAAGTTGCTTGGGAGCAGCATGCCTCAGTCTGGGATGGAAGAAAATTCCTGGATGTTAGGAGATGTGTGAGATAAAGAACACTTACCCCTGAACTGGGGTGACACTGTCATTGCTGACTGGGTACTCATCTCCAGGCCTGTCTGAGCCTCCGCGTACTGTTAGCAGCATTTTGGTTTCTGGCAACCTGAGGTGTGTTTAGACCAGATGGACACAGCATCCTTACACGGCAGCAGCCACAAGTAACACAGTGTAGGGGAGAATCCTGCGAGCTCTGAATTTAGGCTGGCGCATGTCTTCGCAGTGCTGAAATAGCCTGGGGCTCTCAAGTGTTGGTGACAGCTCTCCTACCTGAATAGAGAGCTGGCTGCCTGTCAGGCAGTGTCTTCTCTTAAATCGTGGCTCCTCTGTGTCTAAGTTTTATCTCCATTATCTTCCCTCGACATCTCTTTCTGGAAGGAATCCACGAAGCCCTCATGGTTTCTCATCACCGTTCCTTGTTTGCGGCAAGCAAGCTTAAGGTCTAGATTCCGTGTCAAAGCTGGTCTTGCGTCTGCCTGTGTGCGTTGCTTTCAGGTAAATGCTGATCTGCAAATAAGGCTGCACCTCATGGGTCTCTTTCTGGCCAAGTTCAGATGCTGATTTTTTTCTTCCACCAAGTATTTGTAAGTGTCTCTGATAATGTCAAGATCAGGTCTCCTTCCCTAAATGTCATTCTTTCTTAGCATGACCTCTGATAGGAGCCAGCCGTCAGGCCAGTTCTGAGTCAGCAGAAGTCCTTCCACCGCTGGTGAGAGACCCATGCATTGGAAAGCCCAATGAGCGAAGAGTAGGTTAGTATTTTGCTGTGAATCCTAAGGCATTTGCTCAGTGCTCGTGGAATGATAGGAAGGAGGTCTGAACAGGGAGCCAGGGCTTTCTGCAGGAAGTGGTTTGGGGTCCAGGTCAACAGTTGAATGAGGCTCCCAGGAGCCTGAGTGCCCCTTTGCGGAGGCCAGCAGACGTGCGGCAGTCAGCCAAGGCAGCCACAGCGCTGAACTGAGCCCGATGGTCAGGTAGAGAAGGAGGAATAGCACATGAGGGCTGGTCTCTTGTTCGTCCTGTCAGCGTCTCAGACTCCCCATCTCTTCACCTGAGATCAGCTTCCTGCTCCCGCAGGACCCACGTCCTGGAAGGTGGTGGAACTACCTATGAATGTGACAGTGTGGACATTATTAAATGTGTCTTTAGATAGTGAGAACGAGTACCCATTTTGCCCCCAAATGGGCTCTTAGTGCCAGCTTTTACCCCATGGCCTTGGAATAGCATGGCATTTTGTGTACGAATGCAAGAAAAAACCTTCTAAAGACAGATTGACAGTTGTAAGAAGCAAAGAGGAGGTGCTTGTGGAAGGGGACACAGGACAACTGTCTGAGAAAGTCTTTGCTCCCTTTGCTTCCGTAGGAACATCAGAGAAAAGTATTTTGTCATCGTTAACAAACCGCATTAAATAAAAAATTCTTCCAGTTCTATCTCTTGTTGAATAGTTACTGTTGTTAAAAATCAAATCACTTTCCTCTTTTTTTTATTTCCTGAATTCCTGAAATATGATCTATTTGGGCAGCAAAGCATTGAAATTTGAGCCCATCTTGAAAATGACCGAGAAGAAAGCAGTTTCATTATATAAAACAGCTTGTAGGAAATTGCCCCTGAGGTACGAAGAAGAATTCTTATGTTGGTGCGGTAATGTTTACACCTTTTCTGTAGTGTTCCTGGGGGTGTGCTGGTGGGTACTTGCTTCAGTTTTGTTTCTTTCTCAAACCACTCCTCTCTTTAAACTCTTCAGAAGGGCTTGCTGATTCAGAGGGTTGCTGCTCTTCCAGTTTGAGTTTCAGATGACTTTGTTTCTCCTCTGGCCTCCCGTTTGTAACACCTTCATTGAAGTGTGACCGCAGAGAAAAGTTCGCCACTCGACAAACGGTCATGGCGTGAGAGTACTGTGTACCCACTACCCCAAAGACCCTTCAGCCCCTTACCAGCCACGCCGTCTTCTATGTAACAACAACAACAAGTCATTAAGATTTTATTTATTTATTTGACAGAGAGAGCACGAGTGGGGCTGGCGGGGCTGCGGGAGGAGGAGAAGCCGCTTTCTGCTCAGCTGGGAGCCCAACACGGCTATATCCCAGGACCCTGGGTCATGACCTGAGCTGAGGGCAGACACTTAGCAGACTGAGCCACCCAGATGCCCCCCAAAATCATTTTCTCGTAGGAAATACCAGAAACACTAGCAGTCATTATACTGGGGTTGGGGGAGTGTGGGAATCTTAGTTTTGGTTTACGTTGCATGTGGCTTATTTTACTCTGAACATGTGTTCAGAGTAAAAAAAAAAAAAAAAGTTTACAAGAGCATTTCTCTCCTTCAAGAAAAGGAAAATGTTTTTAATCTTGCTTTACTTTTATTTTAAATAATCTCTGCACCCCACATGGGGCTCAAGCTCACCACACGGAGTTCAAGACTCATGACCCGGATGGAGACCTGAGCCAGCCAGGTGCCCAGGGAATGTTTTTGTAAAACCTTTTTTAAAATGGTCATTTAAAACTTGTAAATATTTTAAATTGGCTTTTATAAAGCCATTTGAAGAGTTGTTTAGTAATTACACGGAGCCCTTTACAATATGTTTACAAGTCTGTTTAGCTTCCTTAACCACAACTACCTCCATTTTGCTTCATTACAACTTTGAGCATCTGTTTCTGGTATCCGTGCACAAAATGCCACACTATCCCAGGGGTCTGGGATTGGAAAGTTAGCACTATGAGATACTATTTTGGGGCAGAATGGGTAATCGTTCTACTTATAAGTTGAAGAGACACTGTAAAACTTCCAAGTTGTTGCTAATTAAAAACAGCCCATGAGATAATTCTCATAAAAATGCATTCGTGATTTGCTCATACCACCTGAAAGTCTTTTTTTTTTTCCTGAGAACAAAAACAACTCGAGCTCACTTTAAAAAAAAAAAATAATAAGCTCAAATAATACAGAAATGAGTGTTGAACACAGACACCTGCTGTAATTCCGGAGGCAAATGCTGACAGGAGGTTAAATTAGTTTTTAAAAATATTAAGTTAGCCTCATGATCAAGTGTTAATTTATACCAAATTTGACCCAATTTCATAATTAACATCTCTTTGATTCTGAAGGATCTTAAGTGCAAAGCCAGAGAAGTGGAGATTAAAAACCCAGCTGGAAACGTGGAAGAAAGGCAGGAGGCCTGGCCTGCTGGGGGGCAGCGGGGGAGCGTGGGGGGGGTGGGGAGCAGTCTCTGAAACCCAACTCCCCTATTGCTGTTCTTTTTACTTTG